GTGTGTGTCTAACGATGGGTCTATAAATATAAAGATAACTGAGGTAAAATATAATCATCAGAAACAGACAGAAAAATGCACTTTAAATACAGCAAATCAGTGCTGCAGTCAAAGTACTTGAGTATCATTAAGAAGACATTTAATTCAAAGGATCTTCATGAAAGAAATACAAAGTCAGGGCTGGCTTATTGATTCAGAGAGCCCTGTGCTTGGAGTTCTGTTTTCTGATATTGTTGTTGTTGTTATTATGTGTCATCGAGTTGCCTGTGAATCATAGTAACCCTATGTACAATATAGCCCTACTAAACCCTGCTCTATTCTTTCCCAATCTCCAACACACCTACCCCTATTAAACCAGTCACTGAATCAATCCACCTCATAGAGAGTCTTCCTCTCCACCTTCACAAGAATGACATCCTTCTCCAAGGATTGGTCCCTCCTTGCAACATGTCCAAACCCTCTCCAGTATAAACTTGTTCATTTTCTTAGCAGTCTATGGTATATTCAATAATACTCTTCTCCAACACCACAGCTCAAAGGTGTCAATTCTCCTTCTATCCTCCCTAGTCATTTTCCACCTCTCTGACACATAGCAAGTGATTGCCAAGACCATGCCCTGTATCAGGTGCACCTGAGTCTCTAAAGTGACACCATTGCTCGTCAGTACTTTGGAGAAGTCCCTAACAGCAGAATTTCCCATCACAATACATCTTTAAATTTCCTGACTCCTGGTACCAAGAGTGTTGATTGTGGAGCCAAGCAAACTAAAGCTGTTAACAATCTCAATCTCTTCCCAATCCATCCTGATGTTGCCAATAGGTCCAGTTGGTGAGAATCTTTGTTTTCTTGATATTGAGCCTCAATCCATACTAAAGGCTGCACTCCTTGGCCCTCTACAGCAAGTACTTCAGGTCCTCCTCAGTTTCAGCAAGCAGGTTGTGTCATCAACATAATGCAGATTGTTGATGATTCTTCCTCCAATCCTGATGCCACACTTCTCATAGAGTCCAGCCTCCTGGATAATCTGACATTATAATCTTGAAATTCTTAATAATTGTATCATCGACTTTGTGTTTGTAATGAAGTCAAATGGGATGAAGATGCATGCATGTACTCGGAGTTTAGAGATTCCTACTGCTTCCAGCATGGACTTGGGTCTCTCTAGTTCCCTAGCACTCCAAGACCACTCTCTTGGACTCCTCTATAGCTGCCATCTTCTACTCAACACTGGGACTGTGTGTCATGGGGTGCTGGAGGCCCATTGGATGCCCATGTTTTACAGGCTTCCTTTTCATTATTGATTCGACAAGTCAGGGTATTGGGTTAGTCCGGGTCAGACTCGTTTTTCTCCTCCTTCATCCAGATACTTAGCATAGCCTGCAGCTTGGGAGTTATCTACAAGTATCTGTGGTGTTGGAGCAGAGAGGGGAGTGCACTATGGACTTCCCCAAACACAAACACATAGTCTTGCAGAAAACACAGCCAGAGTGTTCTTGGAGACAAGGATGGTGAACATTCATCTCCCATACTTTGAGCATGTTGCTAGGGGAGGCTATTCCTTGGAAAAAAGACATTGTACTTGGATAGGTGGAGGCTCAGTGAAAGAGAGGAAGACTCTGAACAAGATAGATTGACTCAGTATATTAGAGATGATAAAAATTGTACAGCATAGGACAGTGTTCAGATTTGTTCATAGGGTCCCTACGAGTCATGTTCAATTGGACTGCACTTAACAACAACAATCACCACCACCAATGAATTGCTCTTATCCATGGGAAGGAAAAAGAAACTTCTTTACTTCTGAGAAGAGGTGTTGCTTTGTGATCAGCGATTGGCAAGAGGAGGGACCAGGACGCTTACAAGCTTCATTTATATGTGTTCAAGGAAAGGAAGGATGGCATTAAATAGCAAATAAAACACCACCACGGCCAGCTGAGAATAAGACTACAGAAGAAAGTAAAAACATTTTGGCTTCTGGGTGAGGAATTTCACTGCCAACTCAAAAGCACAGGGTTCAAATCCACTGGCTGCTTCATGAGAGAGATTGACAATCTCCTCCCATGAAATTTACTGTTTCTGAAAACCTGCTGGAAGGTCAGCTATGAGTCGGTTCTTACTGCACCAAACTCAAATGAGTTTTGAAAAATAATACTATATTCCACTCTTAGAATGTCCTAACATACATTTTACATTCATAGACTCTGAGCAGTTCACATAAAGAAGTCAGGTAAAAATGTATAAGCCCGAGTGTTCCTAATTTATTAAATCTTAGCATCTTTTTAATTCTAAGAAATCTACTAAAATTTAAGAAACACTATTTCTTTTCTAGAACACATTTTGGGGTTAAATCATTCAAAGTAAGGGGCTAAGTCCTATCACTTTCTATTTAGACATATGGAACTTGTTGTTGTTAGGAGCTGTTAAATCTTTTTCTTTTTTTTTTTTAACTCAGAGTGATCATGTTTGATGAGTTGAATTGTCCCATAGAGGTCTTCTTGGTTGTACTATTTACAGAAGCACATCACTAGATCTTTCTCTTGTGGAGATACTGGGTGGGTTTGAACCGCTCACTTTTCAGTTAGTAGTCTAGTGTTTACCTTTCTGTAACACCAGTACTCCTTATATAGAAGGTAACCAATACAACTGTGGTGAATGAAAGAATAGTTTTTTTTCAATCATGAGCTAATCTTTTATTACCATCACATACAATGTGTATGGTCCCTCATTGTTTTACAAGACACATGCTTTTGTCACAAAAAACTTTCTGAAGTTGACAAGGAAGGTATTAATTCAACACCATTTTACAAATTGTTAGGTGCTGTTGAGTCGAGTACAGTTCTTGGTTACCCTGTGAGCAAACCCTGCCCTGGCCTGTACCATTCTTATCATCTCTAATGCACTAGAGTCTATTATTGAAGTCACTATGTCAAATCCATCTTTTTTTTTTATTCTTCCTTTTTCTTCACTGACCCTCCATTTTTTCTTCAAGCATGATGTCCCTTTCAAAAGAATGGCCTTACCTAGCTACTTGTCCAAAGTATGAGAAATGAAGTCATTTTACAAATAGAGAAACTAAAACTCAAAGAGCTTGATTAAATTAAGGCCATTCGAATGATTAATGTAGGAGCCTGAGCTAAAGAATCAAGTCTTCTGATTTCAGCTCCTATCACTTTCATGGCATCTGACTACAAAATAACATATTATTCAACAAAACATGGATAAAGCACTTACCTCAAATAAGCGCAGGACTTTAGCCAGTGCACCAACTTCTTCTTTGAGTGAGAAGATTAGTGAAATGGCACCATCTTGATTAGAATTGTCTTCAATGTAGCTTGTTTCCTATAAGAATCCAAGGACTTGTTAAAACTTAGCCATTTCATTCCAATGAGGTGACCAAGAAAGAAGCAAACATGAGCTCTACAATGAGTGATAACTCTGGTGGCCTAGTGGCAAGTAGCTGCACTGTAATCCTGAAGGTATGGCGTTCAAATCCACCAGCTGCTCCACAGGAGAAAGATGGGGCAATCTCCTCCCATGAGATTAACTGCCTCTGAAAACCTGCTAGAGGGTCAGCTGTAGGTCGGTTCTGACTCAATGGTACACAAGAACCATATAGATTACACAGCATTATATAGTCTGGGCAGAAAATAAGTGAACCGTGAGAAGTGATCATTGATACTCCTAGGTCAGACTTTTCATTTTAGGGAGCTTCAATTAGTAACTGATGTCACCAGCCAACCCTATAAATTCAACATTTTTCAATTAGCACTTCCCAAGATGCCAATGGCCCTGGAAGATACAAAGATGATTAAGTCAGTGTTGCATCCTCCAGGAACTCATAGTCTGGTTGAATAGTCACATATAAACCAATTGGATAACTGAGAAAAACACTTAAGCTGGTTAAAAAAGTACAGCAAGTAAACTTTGAGATCAAAAGGTTGGAAAGTACTAAAAATGGAAACACATACTGGTTTTGAGTCCAAAAAACTGAATTGGAATCCTAATTCAGGAGAGGATTTGCTAGCTGGACACTGGAAAAACAACTTTGTTTTCCCCTTTTCATTTTCAATAATAATAATAATAAGCTCCATCAAAATGAAGATACAGAGGACTATAGTGTATCAGAGCGTACCAGAAACTGTAAGGAAGGCACAGAATAGGACAGGGTTCAGATCCGTTATTCATTTGTTACTATGGGTCCTTCTCCACTTGACAGTACCCAACAACAAAAACTAAGAAGTAAAGTAATGTCCAGAGCAGTTGTTTTCTTGTAATTAAGTTAATGGAATTGATAGAATGGGCATTACATCTTATCAATGAGAGAAGGCTCTGGTGAGTAGACTCTATCAGGAGCTTGAAATAGAAAGTCTCACATGAATGAATTCACAAGATCTTAAGGACAATATTATTTCAATTCAGAATATTCAACTTTTCCCAGAACCTCACAAGGGACAAAGGTGTGGAATAAAGGACCAAAATTATCAACAATTGTTATTCAAGTCTTTCTGCTGCACTGTCAAATGAATTTGAAGACTGAGTTATTGTATATTCCCATTTGAGTCATAACATTTTTAGTAAAAATGAACTTTCTATAGTGTACTGAGTCTAACATATCCCAGCACTTGTCTTAGATTCCTTCATTTAATTACAATGACATTACTAGGTAGTTGGTTTTATTATCTACTGGTCACCACTTACACTAATGACAATATTAAGGCTTAGCAAGGATAAGTAGTTTTGCCAGTCATGCAGTTTCAGGTGTAGCCAGGTTCTGAAGTCATGCCCTTATACCCCAATAGTCTGTTCTTCCCACATTGTATTTGAACCATAAACTACTTCAGACTCTACCTCCCTTTTCTCTTTCTGAGAGAGTCTCTGATGAGGCAGAGGCTTTACTTTTTCTCTTACCATGAGAAAATACTGAGCCCTCAGTCCTCTCAAACTTCCTTGGAATGACGAAGAATGTCACTGTTTCCAGTCCAAGCTGCACTGAAATCAGTTTTTGTTGTTGTTGTTGATTGCCATCGAGTCGCGCATGACTCATAGTGGCCCTATGAACAAAAGGCCTGAAGCCTTTCTATAACTATTGTCTGTTCTCAAAGTTTATAGAGTTTCCAGAGGCATGTTGTTTAGGAAGCAGATGCCACTCCTGCTTCCAAACATGTCTTAAACTTGGAGCTCTGCCAAACACTGTCCACCATGGGTAACCGTTATGACATTTGACACCCCAATGGCACAAGGTTCAGCATTACAGAAACTCCAGGTTACCTCAGTACAACAAATTACAAGACTTTCTACAAACTAATGCAATGCAGGAAGTACGTACTCTTCCATATCAAGAAACGTGGAAAACAGCTGCTTGGAAAGCTGACCAGAACAAATCAATATTTGTGCCTATTTTTTTTAAAAAAAATACCAAAAGGGATGCAACAGAATACAGAAATTATCAAACAGTATATTAATATCACATATAAGTAAAATTTGCTGAAGAGAGTCACTCATCTTCATGGTCTTAAGTCAGAACTGACTCATAGCTGACCCTCCATTGACTGGGATTCTGAAGCTGTAAATAGAATGGCCCATCTTTCTCCCTCAGAGACCCTGATCAATTCGAACTGCCAGAGACGTGTGTTCTTTGGATTATCAGCCAACTCCCTATGGACGAAACCACCAGGGCTCCCTAAAATAGCGATAATTAAAATCCTCCATATACAATTACCAAGATCTCTTACAAAGCAATCCAAAAGACAAAAATTCTAACAGGAAAATAAACCTAGAACAAGGTGAATATGATGCCAGACACAAAGATGCTATTGTTTCTTAAGAGAATGCAAAGCAGTGGAACAGCATAAACCCACCAATGTGGGCCACCTCCACAATCCTAACAAAGCTGTCCGCATTGTCCAGGAGACCCAGGCTCTGGGTGGAGCCCAGAGGGTGGGCAGGTTTTGTCTGTACAGTTAGGTGACTAGGGGTCTGCTGTCCAGTTCCTTGTCATGCCCAAATGCGACAATGAAGCATTCACCTTGGCTCAGCAGCGCAGCAAAATGGAGATCTATGCAGACATTATTGGTTCTGAAGACATTAAAGCGTCTGACTTATACTTTGAAAGAGAGGGGGAAAAAAAGATATTTTCAGGCTGGAAAATTCTTCTTGCTCTGTGGCCAATATTCCTGAGATCGTATAATATTTGCTACGAAAACATGCACTGGTCTCTACTGCAATGGTGACAGGAAATATTAAAAATACCTTCTCCTCCAAGAAAAAAAATGCTGAAGATAATACAAAAATGGCTGTGGCAGTATTTCGAGAATATACTGTAGCAGTATATTCACTTCCTTGGGTGAGTATTTCAGTCAGATTCAAGAATAAGATCTGAAATGTTCAACTCAAGGAAATGAGAACAAATCATGAAGAAAGGACCGTACCCCAGACGTTGTTTCTGAGTCTCGTGTGAGGATCTCTCACTTGCCCAGCAACCTTGTATCACCAAACACGTGAGAGAATCTCAGGTCTAGTAACCTGCAGCACGTGTGACTAAACTGAGCTCTGCTTCATTCCCACTTCCAGCCTGACCACGTTTCTGAGCCTTAGGGTCTTCAAAAGTGAAAGGAGCACATCAAAACCCAAAACAAACAAACAAAAATCGCTATCTCGGATTGATTAAGAATCATAGAAACCCTGTAGGGCAGGGTAGTATTGCTTTGTGGGGTTTCCAAAGCTGCTGTTTGTTGTTGTTGTTGTTGTTATTGTTGTTGTTGTGTGCCGTCGAGTCGCTTGAGACTCATAGTGACCCTATGTACAACAGCCCTAAACGCTGCTCTATCCTGTGCCAATCGCACTGTCTCTGATATATCCATCCCGATTACCCCAGTCACTGAATCAATCCACCTCATAGAGGGTCTTCCTCTCCCGCGGTGTCCCTCCACCTGCCCAAGCATGATGTCCCCCTGCAAGGACCAGTCCCTCCTTACAATATGTCCAAAGTGTGTTAGACGAAGCCTCAGAATCCTTGCCTCCAAGGAGCAGCCTGGTTTAACCCTCTCTAGGATGAATCTGTTTGTTGTCTTAGCAGTCCATGGTACCCTCAGTACTCTTCTCCAGCACCATAGCTCAAGATCCTTTTAATAGTCCACTGTCACATCTTTCACCTTTGAGGTAGCTGATGGGTCAAAATCTCAACCTTTGAGTTAGCAGTTTGGTGTCTAAGGACTATTTCCTTCACTAATTGGAGATAAAATATGCACAGAGAAGGGCATTGACTTGTCCAAGGACACCCTCTGGATGCCAGACCCTGATTCCTAAACCCAAGGTTCTTTCTCTTGAAAGACAGGCAGCACAAACCTAGAAACATGTCTTATCTGTTGACTTCTGGGACATTTCTCCTCTTCACGGGAATTCTGATCTCCTGGTGGGTTTATGGAACTAGGAAACATTAACATTTCTCTTTTCCCTGGGTCCAAACTTCTCTAGTCCCCCATGTAGACAAGGCTCACCCCAACTCACCTGTCCAAAGTCAGAGAATTTTCTGCCCAAGCTCCGGTTCTCTAGGACCACAGCTGACATGCTGGCTATCTGTGAGAGAAGTTTCTAGCTCTAGGGCTTTGGTCAACAGGCAGGTTTGCAAAGAGTACATGGTGCTGAGGTTTTTAACCTGGCTTTAGGGAGGAGAGGCAAGCTTCCAAAGGGGTGTTTCCTTCAGTGAATGTAACTGGGCGCAGAACACCCCGTGAGATGGGTGTTGTCCTGATGCAGTGGACAGGGTGTGGGAGGGGGGAGAGCTACCCTGGTCCTGACCACTGGCCCCCTGGGAAGGGCTGCTTCCAGGAGTCTGTTGAGTTAGATAGAACACAGGCACCTGTGTGCCCAGGTGAACAGACAGATGAGGTACTTCTGGGACTCCCATCTAAGGTGGTTGTTGCTGTGCACCATTGAATCGGAACCTGCCCACAGCTGACTCTCTAGCAGGTTTTCAGAGGCAATTAATTCGAAGGGAAGAGATTGCTCATCTTTCTCCCATGGAAAAATTGTTGGATTCAAACCCCATGCCTTTGGGAAGGCGGCACATCTCCTTACCACTGAAGCCACCAGAGCCCCCCTCCAAACTGGGGTAGATCCACAAATGCTTGATGACAACAAGTAATCCTTCCTCCTCCTGGTAACAGATAGACCTAAGATTCTAAATTAGATGTTCTGCAATCCCAGCAGCACAGGGTTTGGATCCAGAGCTGCTCTGTGGGAGAAAGATAGACAATCTCCTTCCATGTGATTTAATGCTTCTGAAACCCATTTGGAGGGTCCGCTATGGGTCAGTGCCAACCACACAGCACCCAACAACAACGAAGGAGCTCTAGCGGCGTAATCCACAGGAAGCAGCACGACTAACCCAGAGACAGCATCCCCTGGTGGTTCAAGTTCACCAGCAGCTCCCCAGGAGAAAGACCATCTTCTCCCTTCCTGTATAATTTACAGAAAAATCTGCCAGAGGATCAACTACGAATCGATTCTGACTAGATGGCAATGACATGATTTCTTTTGAGTTGATTGACTACTGAGCAAACTACCCTTCTGTGCTTTGACTTTAAAAAAGCCCTTATAAACACTGAGCCTGACAACAAAAGAGCAAAGGAAACTTAACCAAGTTGGAAGCCAGGTAAGTGGTCTTAGACCTGCTGAGAGTTTAGAACAGGAAAGGATATAGAGTTATCGTTGCCAGGATGTTTTAAGAATTTGAGAATGCTACAGCGTATTCAACATTGAGTTTAATGCCTGGCTTAGGTGGTAAGGAACTGCACCGCCAATGCAAAGTATGAGGTTCCAATCCACCAGCTGCTCTGCTGAGTGATAATCTATCTCCCTCTCATGTGATTAACAAAAGTCAGCCCTGTGTCAGTTCCGGCTCGATGGTACACAGTAACAACCTGAAAGCTGGACAATAACTTTGTTCTTTTCTGGTGTTGAAGAAGAGTACTGAATATCCCAAAGACTGTCAATCCGTCTGTCTTGGAGAAAGTGAAACCAGCGTGATTGGAGGTCAGAATGGTTAAACTCCATCTCACATACTTTGGGCAGGAATTAGAAGGGGCCAGTCATTGGATAAAGACATCATGCTTGGAAAAGTGGAGGGTCAAGATGCTGTTGTTGTTGTTGTTGTTGTTGGGAGGGTCAATATAGGAGAGGAAAACCCTCAAGAAAATGAATTTACACAGTATCTGTAACAATGGACTCAGGCATCTTGGAAATGGTGAGGATGGCACAGAACAGGGCAGGGTTCAGGGTTCCACTGCTCATAGGCTCATTGTGAGTGGCATTTGACTCAATGACACATAACAACAACACACTCTCAATCAAACAGTGTCAATCAATTTCCACTCATTACGACCCTATATGCAATGGAACCTTTTTATTTAGTGACTTTGCTTGTGGCCATGGAGAGTTGGAGATAACCTATGTGTCCTTCCCTTGGGAATAGTGAAGTCAAATTTGGAGTACGCCAGTGAAATCATCATTGAGGGCCCATAATGAAAGTATAAAAGTGCTCTTTGTCCCATTTTCCAGATAAAGGAACTGAGGTTCTCTACTAGTTGTCATTGGGGAAAATAAAATATAAAGGGTGCTGCAAAGTCAGTGGTTTAGAAAACTCAACGACGACTCATTGCCACTGAGTCAGACTGACTAATAGCTGAGCCTCCAGTAGCTTTTCTGAGGCTGTAATTCACAGAGGAGACTACCCATCCTTTTCACTCTGAGCTGCTGGTGGATTTGAACCACCAAAGAGGCATTGCCTTTGGGTAAGCAGAGTAACTTTCTATGGACTATGCCACCAGAGTTCCTTCCGAAAGTGGATTAGAAAGGATGTCAAAAACCATAGGCATCAAGGCCTTGAAAACAAAAATGTTTCTTTCAAGTGCATTTGAACTCCTGGCCACACCACATGCTTCAAGGTAGAACTGCTCTTGGTAGGGTTTTCAATGGCCTCTCTTTCACTGTGGGGCTGAGTGAATTTCAACCGCCAACCTTTCTGTTAATGGGCTAGGGAAACTATTTACATAGTCAGAGACCTCAAGGCCTTGGGTGCGTGCCTAATATTTATTCACCTGGGCGAGGGAAATGAGCTGGGGAGGAAAAGAAACCAATAGGAGAGATTGCTTGAAACCCACCCCTCCCCTCCCTCTTTGATCACATGGCTAAGCTTCTCTCTCTCTGTGTGTGTGTGTGTGTGTGTGTGTGTGTGTGTGTGTGTGTGTGAGGGAGTTTAGATTTTAGATTTAAAACAAACAAATCAACATCAGGTTTCATCACTGATTACTGATGCCTCTGTTTCTTTGTCTTTAACATGGTTAAATTTGTTGTTTAGAGGATGGCTGGCTTCCCACTTGCTATAAGAAATATAGTGAGAATGAAAGTGTAATTTCTATCCTGAAAGAATCTCAGGAAACTGATTAATA